TGATTGTGTGAGAAGACTGAAATTTATATAATCAATGAGTCAGTAAACTCAATTTGAGGATCAGTCTTAATTTGTGAATAAATTGTTCATTCTGAGCCACCTTAACAGAATAATTGGTTCACTAATCTGGTTTTAAAGCTAAAGTCAGTGAACTTGAGAATTAAACAAAAAAATCAGTTTTCCAGCATGAGGGTTTGGAAAGACATGATGTCAAATAAATAATGACCAAATGTTCATTTTTGGGGAACCATAGTGAAACACTTTAGACATTTTCATTTTTTCATCTCATTTGTGGAGATATAAAGTTGTGGTATGTGAGGAAAAACTAGTTTTCATCTAAAAAATGACAGATACTGTCTGCGAAAGAGAAGGACGGATGAATGAAAGTATAAAAGAAAGGACGTTTCTGCTGACCAGCTAGGGTTGAAGCCAGCTGATATCAGCATATGGCAAACCTACCTGCAAACACACAAGAGAGACAGACAGACAGACGGATATACAGATAGTTAACCAAACCTCACACCATGTGACACACACAGCCAAAAGAGCTCTTGTTGTATCAGATTGTGTTTATACACGAACACACAGACACACACACGCACATTAACTGTCTCAGAGACACACAAACAACTCTTCTGTTCAGGTGCTCATATATTATGTCAATCTCTGTAGCCCACGGCCCTCCATGCTTCTGTGGTTGGCTCATGGAAAAGTCAAGCATTCTGTGATGTGGTCTCAGCTCTCTGTAAGCGACTCATACATACTTATGTGTGGGTATGTATGTGTATGTGCAGAACACCTTGTGAGAGGAAAAAAGGGGGAAAGCCTTGCATGACACAATTTTTCTTATCCAGACCACGATGAGGCAGCGACAGAATGAAAGAAAGGAGGAATCCTTATAACACGTGTTGCTGCACTGACTCAGATATACTGTATGCTGCTTATTTCCAAGACATCTGTGCGTGTGCGGGATTACTTGGTAATTCTCTTCTCTTCTCTTCTCTTCTCTTCTCTTCTCTTCTCTTCTCTTCTCTTCTCTTCTCTTCTCTTCTCTTCTCTTCTCTTCTCTTCTCTTCTCTTCTCTTCTCTTCTCTTCTCTTCTCTTCTCTTCTCTTCTCTTCTCTTCTCTTCTCAAATGTTTCTGAACATCAGAGCTAGCTTAAATGATACAGGACATGTGCTTTCAACAATGACATTATTGTATCTGCTAGTAATCACTGATCTATTTCTGGATTATGAAAGGGGAGCTCTGTTTTAGATTGAAATATATTTACATCTTTGTGCTTTTTTATTTCACATTAGGCACACAACATCCCTTGTGAAAAAGAAGTGCACTTAATTGTATTGAATGTTCACATGTAGTGCACTTCAAATCTTAAAAGTATACAGTATATATCTATACTTTTAACATACCAACTTCAAAGTTAGGGCCAGATTTACTAAACAGGACAAATTAGCGTTAGAACGCAATTCCATAAAAGCGCTGATAGGAGGGGAAAATTCTGCGGTTAATTACTAACAACGCGCACATTAAAGAACACAGAACACAGAACACGACGCAAGGATACGTTTTCTACGTGTATTTACGCTTTGATTTGAACGAAAATAGAGCACTCATCACTTTATAAAATTCAGATTGAACCACTGATGGCAGATGGACTATTCTGACGATGTCTTTCATAGTTTTCTGGGCCTTGACAGTGTAATTTACTTGGCAGTCAATGGTACAGTCACAAGCCTCCTGGTTTTCATCCAAAATATCTTAAATTGTGTTCCGAAGACGAACAAAGCTTTTATAGGTTTGGAACGACATGGGGGTAAGTGATTAATGACAACATTTTCATTTTGGGGTGGAGTATCCCTTTAAGACATGCTTTTTTGGGGTATTAAATAATGGCGCAAATACCAGTAATTTCTCTCCTATATAGTAGAAGAAGAAACCAGCCTTCCTCCAATCCACAGTGCAAACAGCAATTGCGTCATGCATTTTACACAGATATACTAAATATGGTTCAGTGCATAATAATAAATATATAAAGGGATTTCTGTCTCTAGATGGATCTAACATTTCAAAAGGGAACAAGTTCAAAAATATTTTTTTTCTTGGGAATGTGAAATGTAACTCCCCAGCTCTTATCGTTCCCCTCATACACACATTTACTCACATTTTCCAATTGTTTCTAATGGTGGAGTGCGTGTTTCCCTTCCTCTCTGCTCAGCAGAACAATGCAACATTAACTTGAGAGAGGCACTTTGGGATGTGGGCTCACCAAGGTGACTGCCTTACTTCCTCTAACATGTTTTCCATCTTACTGTTCCTCTATTACAGCTGCTTTTAGAGAATGTTGTTTATTCAAAATGAGTGACCTTCTGACCTTTGGGTCTTTAGTGCCTTAGATTAGATGCCCTTCTAATATTCTGAACTTCATTGTGGTCTGGCTTCATATTTGAACTTTTTGAAATGACGCGCTACTACAGCAAAGTACTTTATTTTGTACTAGTCCATTCTTTTGTAAAAGAGTGTGTGTTTTGATGCCACAGATTTCTCTGTACTGTGTATGTTAGCATTAGCGTCAAGTTCATTACCTAAAAAAAATTTGGGTTGTGCACTGTGCATTGTGCATTGTTCATCATATCGTAAGAAGCTATTGTGTTTGCAGGAACCTGGATTCGAATCAAGCCTACAACATGACCTCCCTCCCTGTTTTATTTGATAAATGTAAAAAGCTGACAAAGTTTGACAAACTCAGATCTTGTGCCCAGCTAAATTTTGTGGGTGAAATCCTGTTTTTTTTGTGAAGTTTTGTGAAAGGGTGAAATAGTTGCAGTCAGATTTCGCTCATGTTCATACTGTACAACATACAACTAATGTGACCTTTCGCACCTGTAGAGGGAGCAGTCACAAAAGTCCATTTGGGTGCAAATATTCCAACTTTGACACTGACAGACCTCTTGTTGGTCTTAAAAATTGGTTTACTCTAATACTTCTCTCTCTATTTGACACAAAGTAAACTTAACTAAAAAATCAGGCTTGCATCATCCTCATGAAACAACCCAAATATTATGACATAATATATTAATTCAAAATATGTCTGTCCTCATGTGTAGCATAGAAATGAATGAAGACATGTATGTGTCTCAGTATGATATGTATGTTTTTATGTAAGTTTGGAGGTATAAAATCCATGCAAATGCAAACACCTCCAGCAGCAGCACAAGCTTACCAACACTTTGTTTGCTTGTTTGTTGTTTTCCCTGTGTGGATTTCATTTGTCCCAGCTTGATGCAGGGGAAAGAATAAAACAAACAACAAGAAAATACATCTTTTTATTTGTTAGTTTGGCCTGGGAATGATGGCAGAGACATTAACAGAGCAAAACGGGATGACTCAATGTATCACACTGACAGAAAATATGTCTCCTTCACAAACAAGTCAGAGCATTGTGCTGCAGAAAAAGAGTGTGCTTGGGAACGAGGGGCTTCGCAGGATGGAATGCTGGGAATTAGGGTCGGGCAGGAGAGTGGGAGACAGGTCTGAAGGGAAGGGAAGGGAAGGGCGAAGAAAGAATGGAAGAACAACAAAAGAAAGAAAACAAAAACTCTGATGAGGAACATAAGAGGAACAGCTCTGGCTGTGAGTCGTGTATGTTCTCCACTTCTTAACCTTTGTTAGAATTCATTTAAAGGGGTCCTATTATGCTTTTTCACTTTTTCAACTTTAGTTAGTCTGTAATGCTGCTGTTTGAGCATAACCAAGTGCAGCCAATCACAACACACACTGGCCCAGCTAACCAATCACAGCACATTTCGTATTTCAGAAGGTGGGCCTTCATTTGATACAGGAACTATTCGAGCCATTCATGCCAGACTGGGGAGAGAGGTGTTGTGATAATGTAAAATATGTGAAAAATAATGTGTTTTTCGAACAACCTAGTATGAGAGCCTGTTCTAGTACACCCCCCAAACAAAATCAAGACTTTGTAAAAGAGCATAATAGGACCCCTCTAAGATAACTCTTTCATATGCACATGCTTGTTTGACATAACAAATAGTAAAGGTTTGCCTCAGGAATTCCCTGTTGAAGTTGGTATTAATGAGGCAGTGACCCCAGTGAAATGAAATGCTCTATCTAATAATGGTCTTTTTGTAAATTCAGCATGTGGGTGAGTGTGCTTTTGTGAATGTGTGTAAGGTCATCATTAATGTTAGCATGGCTACTGAACAATAGGGCCATTAAATGGGATAAAAGACAGGACATTGATTGTTTTGGCAGTGCTTAGTTTGGAGATCTGTTACACACTTTTGGCAGAGGAGGCTTATTAATTTCTCATTTCCTTAAAAAGAGATACAACCATGGACAAAATAGATGGCATTTTCAGCAGAAAGTATTAGTGGTTCTTGCATAATGGTAGCATGCTGAAACAAATAGTAAAGGTTTGCCTCAGGAATTCCCTGTTGAAGTTGGTATTAATGAGGCATACAGAAATAAAATCATATCAGTGACCCCAGTGAAATGAAATGCTCTATCTAATAATGGTCTTTTTGTAAATTCAGCATGTGGGTGAGTGTGCTTTTGTGAATGTGTGTAAGGTCATCATTAATGTTAGCATGGCTACTGAACAATAGGGCCATTAAATGGGATAAAAGACAGGACATTGATTGTTTTGGCAGTGCTTAGTTTGGAGATCTGTTACACACTTTTGGCAGAGGAGGCTTATTAATTTCTCATTTCCTTAAAAAGAGATACAACCATGGACAAAATAGATGGCATTTTCAGCAGAAAGTATTAGTGGTTCTTGCATAATGGTAGCATGCTGGTACAGTAGATGGTAGTTGGGCTTTTTTCATTAAGTTATAGCCTGAGTAAAAGGGACCCACCACAGATTTTCTTCATTTTTGTATCTAGATGAAGAAAGTAAATTTACAAATGTTTTGAGGAATGTGTATCAGCTTGCCTTCATCGCTGTGAATTACATTATTATTTTGGTGTCTCTCTGCAGGATGAAGCGAAAATACCTTCAAAAGTTAGTGTGGCCAAGTCCATGAAGTTTCCAGAGCCTGTGGAAGGAGAAGCTGAAGGCGAACACAAAGCAGCAGCAGAGGAAGGAGGAGAAGACAAAGAGAAAGTCAATCTGGACCTGTCCTCAGATGAAGAGGAGGTGGAGATCGAGGAGACCATTGAGGAGTCTCGAGCAGAGCGCATCAAACGAAGCAGCCTGCAACGCGTCCAGAACATCAAAACTGTTTTCTCCAAGGAAAAAATGGAGAAAACCAAGCAAAAGACCAAGGAGAATTTGGAGAAGACCAAACAGAAGACCAAAGAGAACTTGGAGAAAACTCGCATGAAGACCAAAGAGAACTTGGAAAAAACCAGGCAGAAGACCAAGGAGAATCTTGAGAAGACCAAACAGAAGACCAGGGAGAACCTGGAGAAAACACGTCACAACATAGAGAAAAAGATGGGCAAACTTGGCAATCGGATGTCTGTGAACCCCGAGCGCAAGGAGAAGCTAAAGTCCTCGCAGAAGAAGATGGTAAAGTCTTTCACTCCTGAACACACCATCTATGCTCGCTCCAAAACGGCTGTCTACAAGGTTCCACCGTTCACCTTTCATGTGAAAAAGATGCGTGAAGGAGAAGTGGAGATCCAGGGAACCGAGATGGTGGAAGTCGTTGGGGAAGCAGAGGAGATGGAGAATGCAGTGATGGAGGGAATAGAAGATGAGGAGATGGAGATGGAAGATGGTGAGATGGTGGAGGAAGATGACGAGGACGAGACAGAAGATAGCCCTGAGATGAGAGCGCTACTGGAGAGGGGAAAAGAGCTGGTGTTAGTGGAAGACCATGACAGAGATAGTGATTAGTGTTTGTGTGTGTATTTGGGTGCTTGCACATTAGAGAAGCTTGTAACAGAATGTTTGATTGGTAGGACAGTATGGAAGGCTCAGTTTGATATCAAATGTCAATACAGAAAATTTGATTTCTGAAAGCTCAACTCTCTGAGATGCTAATCAATGAACTGATGCCTAAAGAGGTTTTTCCTCTACATCTACAGCAGAGCACCATCTCAATTAAAGTGTTTGCAGCATTCTCTGACATAGCATAACCTCTAGTGTGTAGGCACCCTGAGCATGTGTGCTGTACTGCTAGTCCAGATATTGGATTCTGCAGGAGAATGTGAATGTGTCTGTTTGCATGTGTGTATCTGCATCTTTTCTATCAGCAGAATGTTTAAAATTTAGGGTGACTCTATTCACCTAACGTATGTGCGAGTGAGAGATTTACTGTACTAGTTCAAGTAACTTAGTTCCTTGAGTGAATCTTGTTTGGTAAGACTAGGCGTGCCAATCAATAAGATGCAACATGGTATCTGGGAACATTATTGTGCTAGACCAGTGTTTCTCAACCCTGGTCCTGGGCGCCCGCCAACACTGCACATTTTGTGTGTCTCCCTAATCAAACACACCTGATTCAACCCATGAGCTCATTAGAAGAAACTCCAGGACCTGGAATGGGTGTCAGATAAGGGAGACATACAAAATGTGCAGTGTTGGCGGGCGCCCAGGACCAGGGTTGAGAAACACTGTGCTAGACGGACAGGATGAACATAAAATTGCAACTCTATGAAACAGATAACAGACAGATGGCTTGATAAAATGAACAACATACTTGTTGGCAGGCAGTTCTTTTGTTCTAGAAGATTAATTGGTCACACTTTATATTAGGTGGCCTTCATTGAATGCCTACAAGACATTGTCTTGATCTACTGTGTAACCACATTCCCACATTTACTGCTCATGAGTTTGGGGTGTGGATAGGTTAAGGAGAAAGGGTTGGTTACAGTTAACAGTGTAATTGCAAATGAAATGATAACTATATTGCATCAAACTGTTAGGTACGTAGTAGTTAAGGCAATCTAATATAAAGTGAGACCAATTATTTTCCTTCTTGTTCTAGTCTCACATGTAGAGCTACAGACTTTTCATAAAAGGTGGAGGAACAAACCAAGATAAGAAAACCTGAAGTATTGCTTCTAAGTGCTCATTTTTATATATCTTTTATATATCTTAGAGTTTAATGAATAATGTTACATTTCCGTTAAAGTCAAACTGTTACACTGATTACTTTTGGTCTCAATGTGATAAATTACACAAATAGTAAATAGTATTAGAAAGAAGAATACGAAACCACATTTAAACATCAAAAATGATTATGTGACTACATGTTTTTGTCCTTTTGCATGATTTTTACTGGAAACTATCAAAACAGATGATAAAAAGAAGTATAAATGTCTATAAAATGATCTTCAGAATGGCACTGCAGGCTTGCTCAACATAGGCAGCAGTGCTCTTTACCCATTTAACACTACTGTTTATGTAACATTTGCACGTCCCCTGGTGGACATGTGTGGTTGTAATGGGCCAATGAGCGATGAACCCTTAGCCTCATTTATTGACCTAAGAGCACAAAAGTTACAAAGTTAAAGCGAAACAGGTATGAGCAGCAAAAAGCTACAGCTAATGTCATCAGCACCTCTGATCTTAAGTGAAACACATATAATGAATAATGAATCACTGCTATTACTTAGAGCACAATCATTTATTTCTCTGTGTTAATTTCATTCTCCTCCATGTTTAGATAGTATCATTATAGTATATCACAAAAATGTACTCTGCTTTAATCAGTTTCTTTTTTGTTCGTTTTATTTTTGCTTGTGTAGCCGATAATGCATATGAATATTCTCTTGTAATGTCAGTCTTAACCACTAATGTGTTAATAAAAGCAACCATGCTTCACACTACATGAGTGCTACACACTACATAATTTCATCAAAATTAATGTATTATTTTTACACTGTATTGTTGTATTGTACTGCATACTTACAAGCAAATTATGCAACAAATTATGTTCATAATATCATATTGTTTACTGTACATGAAAAACATATACCTTTGATTTTCGAAAGACCCTCGTTAGAGAGTCCTTGGCATTAAAATGTGGTTAAATAGAGTGCACACAAGAAACAAATGATACATCTGTTTAATTTGATTTGCATTTTCAAACACAAAGTGAGTTTAGCATTGGGTATACAAAAGTGGAACAAAATAAATCTGTACCTTGTTTTGACAATAGCATTCAATTCATATAAATATAACCATTTTAACTGTTGTCATTTGCTTAGCTATTAATTCAATGCAGAAGAGAAGATTTTAATTCTTATCTCGTTTTGTATTTGCCAAAAATCGCTGACATACTGTCTGTACTGGTTTAACTCTCACCAAAATTAGCAACAATTCATCATCACGTCTTTAACACAAAAATAACTTACAAAACCATGCAGAGTGACAGCTACCATAAAGAAAACACATCTACTCCAAACATAACCACATGTATTTAGTTATACAACTCATAACAAATCAAGAAGATCTTCACGTAACACAAAATAACCTCGGGAGAGAAAACAATATGCGTGAAACTATAACTCAGCAATGCTAAGATTCCACGAAACATAAACTGTAAAGATCACTGGTCATGCTAGTAAAGCTGATGCATGCAGTGCCTATCAATGCCATTCACTAAGTTGCGCAGTAGGTGGATGATTCACTGTTGCCCTGGATGTGATGTATACTCTGGGTATATTACCCACTTGTTACCATGACGATGTTTAGCGATGTGGTGCTTTCAAAGCTGCTTCTACCTCTTCCTCTGGTTGAAGCGTGTGCCACTGGGCCACTGGACGTCTGGGATTGGCCAGCATTTCCGACCAATGGCGTAAGCCGACACCTGTGGCGCCATAACCAATAAAGGTTTTGCCAATGGGGTCGTTGCTTCCCAGCTTGTCGTAGTCATACACAGTAATGAGGAGCTGGACTTTCTGCATTAGGATAGAGTGGGTTTGGACTTTAGAACATGCATTTATTTCATTATGGACATGAATAAAATGCCCCTTCAAATTTGTACATGTACAATAATAGACACAATATAGGCTATATCAGATGTAAGAATGATCGCACATCACCTGAATCTGTTCAAATGGGACCTCAAAGCTGAAGCTCTCATTAAAGTATGGGTTCAGTGTGTTCTTTTTAACAGTAGTTTTCTTCTTCTTCAGACGCTTTCCGTTATGCTGTAACACAATCTTCACATACGGATCTGACACAGGAAGTAGTTGAGATGAAAAATCAGAAGTGGAAAAAAAATTACAAGAAAACATACAGCAAACTGTAATTGAATTTATTATTCAGTCAGTTTGAACACACCTGCTCATTCTCAATTATTAGCATTTTCCACATTTAAAAAAAAAGGCATCACAATTATGGCATAGTGCAAATGTAATTTAAATATTTAAATTCACTTTTGAGTTGTACCTGATAAACCACCAACATCCATTTTTTTTAGATTTTTGGCCTCCATTATGTTGACGGTGAGTTTGCCAGCAGTGGGCACATAACGCAGAGAAATACAAATGTCTCCAAGTTTCTCCTGTTGAAGAGAAAGAAAGACCAATCACAGGAACAAATATCAAATATCCAGGAATTAATGATGGCATACCTGAGAAATTAAGTCAGACGTGCTAATACAAATATTGAGAGAAAATAAAATGTACCTCCTCCTTTTCTCCACTTTCGAGATCCCTCCATTCATGCAGCGGTTGTCCGAGATCCACACAGCTCATGGGAATCGTTATCTGGCCGATCACATCATGTTTACCAAACCGATCAAAATCAAACACCTGAAGCACCAGAGTTTTACCACCCAATTCAGCATAGGGAATCTATAATGCATGATAAGAGGCAGGAACAGAGAAAACGTGAGAGAAACAAATAAGCAAAAATTAGTGTAAAGCAGCTTTCCAGTGTTAATACATGGTAATAAAACATTGAGATGTCTTTTCTAAACTGCAGACAAGCCCAAAAGAGAACAAATGCTTCCTGTTACAGGTCATTAAAGGAATAACTCATTCAAAAATATACTGGTATTTTGCCATTATTTAGTCTATATTGTTTCAAAATTGCATAATGTTTATGCAGCTCTTTTCCAGACAAAGGCAGTTTATGCTGAGCGTGTGACAGACATTTAGACTTTTTTTAATTACATTTTTCTTTCTTTCTTGTAAAGAACAGTTGCATAGTTTGAAACAACATGATAAATAATTTAGAATGATTATAATAAGTATGAAAATATTAGTTCATTTTTAAGTGAACTATTCCTTCAAAAACATATATAACCTCAGTGATACCTTGATAGCTGCCAATCAAAAAATGAATGACAAAACCATTGTAGGGAAGCAGGGATTTCTGGGAACTTAGGATGCCACACAAGGAGACAAAACCCTGACACAAAACCTGAGAGAGAGAGAGAGATGGACAAACAAACTACAGGTGGAACTAAACAGACGCCAGAACACTCAAAAGACAAAACTACAGGCAATAAAATGTTACGAATTATACTGGACGACCACTTTAACGGCAACACATACATGACTCATCATGTACGTACTGTAAGTTAGAACCTGGCTTCGTACTTCATAAACAAACAAAACACCGAACAAAAAAAACCTTGAAGATGAAGGTCTCATTAAACACAGGGCACAGATTTTTGCGCTGGACTTTGGTTTCAAACTTCTTCTTCTTGTCTGGAAGCAAGTAAACTTTCACATATGGGTCGGATGTACCGCCTATATCCATAGCGGGAAGATCTTGAGCCTGAAGAACTCCAACTATCAGCTGTTGACAGAAAATTAGACATGTTCCATGTTTCTTGTTACAATGACATCATTACATCTCTACCTATTACAGTACTTTTAATGCATTAGGCACCTGAGCATCAGTGAAGGTGTAATCCAAAGAGAATTCCAGTTTTCCAAGGTTTTCTTGCTCTTCTTTTTGCACGTCTCCCTCCTTTTTTTCTCCTTCTTCCTGCAAAGATGAATAGTTATATTATATGCAGTATGTTCATGGAATATGCAAATTCATTGTAAATAACAAAGGACGTTGTGCTGTGTTTTAACTTTATTCTAGCTTTTCTATCACATACATTTATTTATTTATTGTCACACTTTACAATAAGGTTCCATTTGTTAGCATTAGTTACTACATTAGTTAACATGAACTAACTGTAAAAATACTTTGCATTTATTAAGCCTAGTTAATAACATGAACACATATTAATAATTACAGTAACAAATGTCTTACTCTTTGTTAGTTAACTAATATTAACTAATGGGCTAATGGGTGTTTTCTTTTTTATAGCAAACCATGATTGAAAAAAAAAAAGTTATATTTGTGTATTTCTTTTTTGCACCTTTTGTTCTCCTTCACCCTCTCCTTCAGTCCCTTCTTTTTTTCTCCGTCCTGCTCTCTTCCTCTCTCGAGCCTTCTTGGATTTCTTCTTCTTGCCAAAGCATTTCTTGAACATGCAAAATGTAAAGCAAGCCACAAGGGCGAGAACCACGACCACGATGGCTCCTACAGCCCACATCGGCACTATAGAGAACAGAAAGCTGGTCAGTCTCCATGGAAACAGGTACAGGACATAAATCACACAGGACAATGTGTGTCACATCACCATCGTCTGTAAAGCTGAACAAAAACTATGAATCAAAGTGCTCCATTTATGTAATCGGGCTTCACATCAAATGCAGATAATGACTCAGAGAATAAATGAAAATGAAGAATGATTTTGTGTCCTGTGAGGTTACACAATCACAACAAAATCAGTGCATTTTAATGAAATGAGTTGAACTTAATAGAATTATTTATAAATGTAATAAATTGTCTTATCTACATCGGTACATCCTTTTTACTCGTTTATGTTAATATATGGCCAAATGTAGATACTTACATGGAAGATGTTCCAGCTCATTCATGAACTTGTTCTTCATGTGTTCATAGTTGTGATGAGTTGGATGAGCAGGATGGTGCTTATGTTCTGGTTTTGGTTGTGGTTCAGGTTCTGCTGGTTCAGCAGTCCGCCGAACACGGACACCCATGTCCACAAACCTCATGCCAACTCTGTGTCAAGAATCCAATGCACAGCCTGAAAATAACAACCCAAAAAGAGGATGTATGGAGTACACTGTTCAGAAAATCTCAAGAAATTAGAAATGTCTTTAACATCATCTTTAGAAAAGAAACTCTTCAAAGTCATTCTTGATGCTTGGTTTGAAGATATTTGTTTTTCTCAAGAAAGGTGAATAACTGTAGAAGTAACAAATAAAAACAAATATTTATATTTTCTCTATATTTATCTGAACAGCAATATTTATTCTTGGCACAGAATATAATTGTGGTACTTTTTTTAATTGGCAAAGAGAAACTGTTTCCTTGGAAACATGACAGCATAAGAGTCAGTGCTAAAAGCAGCTCAAATCATAGATCTTATACAGTTATATCTAATTCTGTACTGTACATGGATCCTCTATACAGTCTATTTCACACATTCAAAGGCTGAGAATTCGGTTCACATCTAATACATCCTGCAATCATAATTTCTGTATATTCATCACAGTACAAACGTGTATGTGCATCAGTGCATGTATATGTTCCCTAAAGCCAGAAGACAAACATGGCTGATTCTAATCCATGATGTATTTACCCTCCTCTGCCATACCACCATCCACCCCCATCTCTACTGGTCAATGTCTCTCTCTCGTTCTCTCTCCCATGCTTAACGAGATTATGGGGGGAAAATAAAACCAAAGCTCAGATAACTCAGATAAACAAGGCATCTCTTTGAGAAATTATAGCTTTCTTCCCTGCATTGATTGACTTGTTCATTCATTAACGCTTCATTTAGGTATTCTCAAAACACTGAATGAAAAGAAACAACACCTCAGTACCATCCTAAATACCTGTTCACCAACACACACTGCAAAATGTTCTTTGTGCATGAGTTCTTTATGCAATGTCTAATTTTGTTTTCAGATTTCTGCAGATTCATGGAACTAATGAAAAACCCAGAATGATTGTGATTTTACGTTTGGCTTAAGGTGATTTTATTGGGTAATAAGACCACATGTTCTGGGCTAAAGCCCCTCTGTAAAAGGACCAACTTTGGTTAAAATTCTAACAAAAACGATTGTTTGGGATAGTAGGGCAAAGTAGGAAGTGTGAATGCTTTCCAAAATCGTGAGGGAATTTGTCAATTGTGAGGACTGCTCCAATCACGATTCATTTGTAAACTATTGTATTTTACAAGCTTGTAATTTACTTGCATGTAATTTTAACATCATCTTTAGAAAAGAAACTCTTCAAAGTCATTCTTGATGCTTGGTTTGAAGATATTTGTTTTTCTCAAGAAAGAAGTAACAAATAAAAACAAATATTTATATTTTCTCTATATTTATCTGAACAGCAATAATTATTCTTGGCACAGAATATAATTGTGGTACTTTTTTTAATTGGCAAAGAGAAACTGTTTCCTTGGAAACATGACAGCATAAGAGTCAGTGCTAAAAGCAGCTCAAATCATAGATCTTATACAGTTATATCTAATTCTGTACTGTACATGGATCCTCTATACAGTCTATTTCACACATTCAAAGGCTGAGAATTCGGTTCACATCTAATACATCCTGCAATCATAATTTCTGTATATTCATCACAGTACAAACGTGTATGTGCATCAGTGCATGTATATGTTCCCTAAAGCCAGAAGACAAACATGGCTGATTCTAATCCATGATGTATTTACCCTCCTCTGCCATACCACCATCCACCCCCATCTCTACTGGTCAATGTCTCTCTCTCGTTCTCTCTCCCATGCTTAACGAGATTATGGGGGGAAAATAAAACCAAAGCTCAGATAACTCAGATAAACAAGGCATCTCTTTGAGAAATTATAGCTTTCTTCCCTGCATTGATTGACTTGTTCATTCATTAACGCTTCATTTAGGTCTTCTCAAAACACTGAATGAAAAGAAACAACACCTCAGTACCATCCTAAATACCTGTTCACCAACACACACTGCAAAATGTTCTTTGTGCATGAGTTCTTTATGCAATGTCTAATTTTGTTTTCAGATTTATGCAGATTCATGGAACTAATGAAAAACCCAGAATGATTGTGATTTTACGTTTGGCTTAAGGTGATTTTATTGGGTAATAAGACCACATGTTCTGGGCTAAAGCCCCTCTGTAAAAGGACCAACTTTGGTTAAAATTCTAACAAAAACGATTGTTTGGGATAGTAGGGCAAAGTAGGAAGTGCGAATGCTTTCCAAAATCGTGAGGGAATTTGTCAATTGTGAGGACTGCTCCGATCACGATTCATTTGTAAACTATTGTATTTTACAAGCTTGTAATTTACTTGCATGTAATTAAAATATAGCCTAGGTCTATAATAAAAGTACTTGGGTGACAAATCACTGCACCCCTTCATCTACACTATCACTAGCTTGGGCTTTTTATCCAAGATTATTTTTGGCATATTTTCACACGTTATGCTTCTCAGCTGATAGCCTACCTTTTTCTTTTAGCTCCACTGTAATATTTACATATCAAATGCAATCCATTTCGTGAGATTCTACATTTCTACATGAAATACACATCGCTTCCAAATAAAAGTTAATTACAATTGTGAATGCTGTGGTAAATGTAAGCAGGCTGTCATTCGTGCTCATTTTCAGCAACAGGTTACGATGGTAACACACGAACGCATTGAAATGACATATTTCACAAAACTGAAACAATTTGCCCTCATAATGTGCATATTGCTGATGTGTGTCCTGTCAGGTCTGCTAAAGTGTGATATAAAATGAAAGCTTGTCTCTGCATAGAAAAAAATAAAAAAGATTGCAACATACCTGATAAATGAATACCTCCGGATATCTTGGGTGGGGAAATACCTTACTAAATTAACATTAAGACGATGCCGGTTTGTTTTCCCAGCAGCCCTCAGCCAGACATGCTGATGTGTGTATATTGTGATAAGTATGGTACTGGTGGTTTAACCCCCTCCCCATCAGCTTTAAGCTCAAGTGCTTTCAAATCATTAAAGCACCACTAATCTCTCTCCCCCTCCCCATCACATCTGTTATGCAGTTAGAGGGTTTCTCCATAAATTCACATAAACCACGCCTCTGCCTTTAATTCAGGTATGTTACTGTACTAAAAAAAAAAAAAAACCTTTTTTCCTCCCCAGTGATATGTTAATCTTGTGTTCATTTCCTTTGAGAGCTCTTATTTATGTGACTACTGCCCAGCATCAACTGCCCCTCTAATCCACATAAAACATCATGCTCGACATCATTGTTCCCATCTGGGACACGTTGTGGATGAAAATAGCCTTTCTGCCCTGATAATCTGTTTGATCACGGATTACACTTACATTTTTTTTCAATCAATAAATCAGAAAGTATTCTTACTAAGCATGTTCAGTCATTTAAAACCAATCCGTTTTGATAATTTCGACACTGCTATTGATCTAAATGTTCTACTTTTGTATGCCAGTTTTGTACATTGGGGTTTGATATGGCACAAGAACTGCTACGGCCGTGTATGGTAGCCTTGTTTAGTGCAGAGGCTTTTGGTATGTTCAGTGCATACTACTATACTATTGTTGCTTCTGCAGTTTATAGTATGTATACTGAGCATAATAGGCATATTTTGGGTTGGGCTGGGTGGATTGTATCTTTGTTCTTGGCCTTCAGTTGCTAATCTTTTCTATGATGTGCTATTGAATGATAACCAAGGGGTTTGGTTGGATAGCACTGCCAATTATAGGCTATTATTTTAAAACCACATTTACATGAATTGTAATTTACATTTACAAGATATTAATTTAGCGGACACTTGTGAAAAAGAAGTACAATCAACCCTCATATTCTCCTCTTGCACACTTTACACTCCTGGTGTTACAGAGGGATTTACAGTGCAATTGTATAAAAAATAAAAAATAATGAAAATACAAAGATGTATCATTTGTATTTATTTCGTAACAATACGTTTATGGTGTGTTTTGGGGGATATGTGGTACTTTTTAAATTATTTATTACAAAATGGCTCAACACCTTAATAATCTAAATTAAATATTTAAAAATCTTCTAGATATTGATTTTAGGACAAAGTACTGGCATCTGCAACATAACATAACAAGTTATAAAATACATTAAAATCGGTTTTATTTTCAGAAGTTAGAAGTTGTTTGAGGTGTTTTGAAGTGTCTGCTTTAGCACTAATGCCATAAATTTGTAAAAAAAAGCATGTCTAACTAAAATGCTACTAAAAGACACGTGACTTAGAGTCACTTTTTAATGTGCTGAATAACATACTGTACTACAGCACAAGTAAAGTACTTGATTATAATTTGAACTATACTGTGTTATTTGATATTACATTTAAAATTAACAAATTTTAATGTACTAAATTGCAACTTCATTATTACAAATGTGTAATTACAAATATATATATATATA